AGGATCTAGAGTTTGCAGATAATAGAGCCTGCTTTGCTTTCACAGTTCTGGACCAATAAGGAAAAATTCTGCCATCTCCATTGCAACAAAAAATTTGGATTCCAAATTCAAATGTCAAGGCAGTTTTGCTATATGGAGCAGAGACATAGAGGGTCTCAAGGCAAGCACAGAGAAGATAATTTCCTTTTATCGCCTAGTGTAGGCAGGACAAAGTGCAGAATACAGAACAAGGTAGGAGCCTGAAACAGTGCAATTAAGAAGGAGCAAGTGGCTCTGGGTGGGAAACACACTGCGAAAGGCTCACTCTAAGGAGGAAGTGCCGCTTGAGTTGAACTCCTAGGGAAAAGCAGAAGAGAGGGCGCCCAATGCAGACCTGGAGGTGGAGTCTTCTCAAAGAAGTGAAGACAGCAGTGATTTCTAAGAAGATTGCAAGATTAATAGCCTTGGACTGGACAAAGTGGAAGGGTATGGTTAAGGATCTATGTTCCGCTAGAAGTGAAGAGGGCTCTCAAGTTTCACCTCCACTAGCATCTTCAGTAAGCTCAAGACAGCTGATTTCCAAAGAACATGCACTTTATAACCACAAAATATATTACGGGTTATGTACAGGCATAATCTATATATATAATTCTCTTCTTGGAGACGTTAGAAAACACCAAGCTGTAAGCATGCCTAGCAGTCCCCTCTCTTCCTCTCTAGGTATATCGCAACCACCCCCACCCCCACATGGTCTGGTGAGCTGTGGTTCACAATAAATGTTTACAATCATAAAGCCGGGTTTAGTGACGCCTATTAGGGGCAGATAATTTAGTTTGAAACTACTTTAAACTTGGGGGAGGTAATTAAGAGGAGGCTGCTTTCATTGGGGAGGGGGGGGGGGGAAGGAGGGTTTTAGTGTTTTAAAGTAAATATCTTCAGTGACAGCATTGGTACTGTCGAATTCACAAAATATGAATTACTGAAAAGTAGAAAATAAAACTAAATAGCTGCGTGTGATACACTGCGGGTCGGCTCGTAAATATTAATTTTTATAAATACAACAAAATCATTTAAGCAAACCAGTAACACAGTAATGGAATCAGGAACTACTTGGACGTTAAAACAACACCAAAACAAATTTGTACAAATAAAATGCATCAAGTGTTTATAATATTAGTAGAGTTACAGTTAGCCTATGCCTAGGTAAGAAAGGTCAAGGTTCATTAAGCACAAGATTTTAAAAAAATTGCTGTGTAGGCCTGTAAGTTATGTTACACTTGTTGGATTCCTACTTTAAAATTACTTTAAAGTCAGCTTTGTATAGTAGTATTATTAATAACAGTTGTTGGGCCTACTATTGTTTATCAAGCTGCCTTATAATTTATAAAATTAATTTTTAAGTACATGCAACATATAATTTAAATTATTTCCAATTTAAATTTTACCTTTACAAAAAAGTGTTATCCATTAGAAGTAAATAGCTCTAAAACCTAAATCAATTCAGTTTACAATAAACTCATTTTATTTATCTGCTGTTTATGTTTGTATGAAAATTTAAAATGTTCTTATTGAAGGACAAAATAAAATAATTACAAAACAACTGATATATGTATTTATATTTATTTACTTATTTATATATATACATATGTATACATATTTATTTATATATATTCGTGTTTATATATATATATATATATATATATATATATATATATATATATATATATATATATATATATATATATAATTTAAAATAAATACCTTTAAATTTGAAATAATAACATACACATGTTTTGCAAAACAAAATATTAAAGTACAAGCTGACTGGCGCCGTAAGCATACGCCGCTATTTAGTTATTTTCTACTTTTCAGTAATTCATAATTTGTGAATTCTACACTACCAATGCTGCGACTGAAAATCTTTTGCTTTAAAACACTTATCAGTAGCTTGAGAAGGACGATTATGCTCACCCTCGCTTTGCATGCCTTTTGAAAGTTTGTTTAAACCTGGCTCAGAACTGTTTTTAGTTTCATGTTTCTAGATTTTATTTGTTAGTTGGCTTCTTTACTTTTTATTATGTTTATGCAAGAAAAGGCTTGCTCGCATGAATATGTTGACCTGAAGATCGTCAGCACTCCAAATGCCAACTTCTTCACCTCACTGTAGCATCCTCAAAGACTATTCCATCCGTCACATAATAATGCATAAATTCGCGTCATTTCTTTTATAGCTGTCCACTTGTGCAGAGAAACATGCATGTTTTTCTCCAACTCTCCAAACTTGCTCTTGAGTTCCACGAACTTACCACTCCACAAATGGTTGGTTTTCAAATCCAGCAATTTTATTTGAAGCAAACTAGCATCAATTCCAAATAGCTCAAAGTTAATCTCATTGGTTTTTGTCTTGAGAGGATCTACGATGAAATTCAAAGTGCTTGCATTTGTTTTGAATTGGTCAAATCTCTCAGTGAATCAATCCTTCATTTTGTTTATTGCAATGCTGAAGTAATTCATGTTAGTAGTAGCATTGGTTTCTTCGTGACATTTTTTTTTAGATTTTTCTAAAGTAAGTAATTTACCGCTCTACATGTCTTCAATATTAAAAAAAAGTGTTTTTTTTTCTTTGAAACAATCCACTTCTTCAAGCAAGGCATAGACTGGGTTTACCTTTAGGTCATTTAGTTTCTTTGTGATATCCACCATGAAGTTGAATGTTTTAATTCGGGATGGACAATTTAATAGGAAGTACATTGAAATTGGGGTGTAACTAAATATTCTAATAAAGTGGTATCGTTCATTACTGAGTGTTGCAGAACAATATTATTATGAGTTTTGAAAACAAAATAATTATTAATATTTGTGCATGGTGCTAAAGAGCCGCATCGTGACATCAAAAGAGCCACATTCGGCTAGTGAGCCGCAGGTTGCCAATCCCTGTTCTAGACCAGGGGTCGGCAACCTGCGGCTCTTTTGATGTCAAGATGCGGCTCTCTAGCTCCTTTCACAATTATTAATAGTTATATTATTTCATTTTCAATACTCGCAGCAAATATAAGAAAACTCAACTTTAAACAGGATAAAAACACTCATCAGGAAACAATGAGAATATGTGCAATAGAGAGTATACAGCTTGAGCACCAGGCCCAGCCGCACAGCCGCGCTGTGGTCAGCTCCGTGGCAACCATTCCATGCTTGCCTCTGTCCAAGGGGCGACTTTTTCTAATATCGTTTAATGGGGAATGTTATTTTATTCAGAATGCATTTCCCTATCTGTCAGTAAACATTAATTCGAATTGAGTAACGTAGTTTTTTTTTTAGTTAATAGTTCCTACTGTTGAGCCGGGTACTGGACCGTGGGGTACAAGTTTACCCTGCGTTAAATGGGATGGAAGATAAGTCTGGTGAGAACCAAGGGACAAAAGAGACCGATACAGACTGGCTAATGTCAGACACCTTCTGAGCCGGGGATATCCGTCAAGAAAGAAAAACAAAGTTAGCAGCTTCTAAAGTGGATTGAGATAGTCCTATAGTTATATTATTTGATTACTAGGTTTATTATTCTGGCGAAACGTGTATGTTTTTATTTGAATAAACATTATTTCAGATTTAAGGGTATTTATTTTAAGTAACAAAATATATTTATCTAATTCTAATCAAATACCAAATATTGAAAAAAAAAGATAGTGGCTCCTTAATAACTGGGAAATTTTGAAAACAGTAACTTTTGGCTCTTCCGTCTTAAAAGGTTGCCGACCCCTGTTCTAGACCCATAAAAGGTAACATCAGCTCATGCCATGCAATTTACTTGCATCTCATAGTATTATTTGAAGCAGTAGATAGGGTTTATTTAAATAACAACTAAAAAATTTTGATTGTCAGAAAAGTTTTGACTCTTTTGCATACTTTAACAAAAGAAAGTGAAGAAAATATTAAATACACACACATTGCTAAAAAATATTGAATGGATTATTGTCAAATATTTTCGCTTATATGCCAAGAAAAATGGATTCATTTTAATAAAGTAGAGTCTAATAAAATGAATCAATTAAAAAGTTAAATAAAATGTTTAATAATTATGCCATGTGTAATTTTAAGAGAAATTCACCTCTTGCTAAATAATGCTATTTAATTAATTCTTTTTTTTTTATCCCTACCGTATTGATTATAAAAGATTAATGTTAAGATTATTTATATTATTTTCTGATTAGTCTGCAAATAGTTTTATAGTTGTTTTTTTTTTAAATTTCTATGATCTTTTAAAATCATTATTTTTTTTGTTTTGTTACTTTGTTTTAGTGTTATTTAAATTAGAGAATTTGGAAAAGGCTCTCTCTGAGCACAAAACTCAGGGAAAGCGTAACAAGTGATTGCATTTGTGTTTCAGATTGAATTTGCGTTTGGTTGCTACTTTGTTTTCCCTAACCCTAGCCAAAGCCCTAATCCTAGCTGTACCTTGAGCTAAGAACAGGGGGGGGGGGGGGGTATAAATGACAGGGAGGGTAATGCCCTGTTCCCATATACACATGTATATCATATATATAATTTCATTTTATAGTTTTAATTGACATAATATGTAAAGAACAAAATTAAACTAAATATATTACCCTTTTAAATAAATTCTAATTTTGTTTGAAAAAGGTATGCAAATTGCGTCTCTTTGTACCAACTACTTGTATTGACAGATGACTTACCAAAAAATTGATAAAGCAGGAAAAAAATACTTTTTTTACTTTGGTTTGGATGTTGGAAAAAAAAAATCCATTTAGCATGGTTTGGGGTCCATGGGGAGTATTCATAACTCCTTGCCACCACTTGCTCAGTTGATCTCTACTATTTCTTGAGTAAATAAAATCTGAATAGAAGTTTTTATTAATGCTTCAATCTAATAAGTAACACGTTTCTTATTTAACAATACTTTCTATATCTTAAGCTAAAATAAAACTAACTATATATGTACCTCTTATTAAATGTACCTTTAAGTAGATAGCTTACAGATCATTTGTTTTCTTATTTCATTCAAGTAAATGGCATGGCAGCTAAAAAGTATATTGATGCTGGTGAGCTTGTTCCAGACAATGTAATGCTGAGGATGGTGATGTATGAACTTGGCAATTTACAACAACAAAGTTGGCTATTAGATGGTAAGAATTTGTAATGTATGTTAAGCAAAACAAGTTAGTGTTCCTGAATTTCTTCAAGGATCTTTTAAGCAAAATTGCCTCATGTTGGGTTACAGCTTATGCTGCAACTTCAAGAGAAGCTAAGTAACATTAGGTTTATTCAATTTTACCACCCGCATTGCTTATTATATAAATCTTGTTTCCTTTTATTAGGTTTTCCAAGAACAGTAGAGCAAGCAAAGTCATTGATACGTGACCAACCAATTGACATAGTTGTAAATTTAAGAGTTCCTTTTGAAGTTATAATAGACAGAATAAAAGGTCGTTGGACTCATTTAGCAAGTGGTAGAATTTATCACACAGAATTCAATCCCCCTAAAGTACCAGTAAGTAATAATTGTTTTAATTAGCTTAACTTCACCAAGCGCATTCTAACCAGCCATTTTGAAAAATATGCTTCTTTGTAAGTGTAATCAGAGGAATTTTATAGTTATAATTATAACTTAAAACTTTAGTAGTGATTAATATCAGTAGACCATGCTGGCTAATAACAGTTGTTAATATTTGCTCTTTAGAATAACACATCAAAATTCAAATTCCTAAGTTGTTGTAACCCTTTGTGATACAAGGCTAAAACTTTCCACATGCATTATTCATTTCACCTATTACATAAAACAAGAGTACAGATGTATATATTGGTTCAAGGAACTTAAATCTTTAATCAGATTTGGGAAAACAAAGTTATATAGTTTTTTAAAAAGTGTTAATTTTTACACCTTTTCATATTTACAAGGGAAGCTAAACTGCTAAGTGTGATTGTTATACCTTTGTTGTGTAAAAAGTAAAAAAACTTTTCCTTTGCTTTCTGCCTTTCAAAATAAAAAAAAACCAATCAAAATGCATACATTTTGAAAAATACATAAAAATTGTTCACATAACAAGCTTTTATGTAATTATGCACAAAAAAGGAGAAAACATGCATTAGCTACAAAGCATTGTCTTATGTGTAATTTTTTTTTGTCCCTTAGTAAAAAAAAATTCTTTTTTCTTTTTTTTCTTTTGCCTCAGACACATAATTTACAGTTTTTGTCTGGTAGAGAAGAAAACTTTTTGCGAAAAGCATCCTGTATTTAGAAACTGTATTATATATATATATATATATATATATATATATATATATATATATATATATATACACTCAATAAAATTTGATTTATGCTCTAAAGCAATCTTTTGTTTGATTGTCAAAATGAATGCATACTTATGTAATTATTATACTCCTTTCAATTTTGTTCTATTTCTGAAATTCGATGTTTAAACCTTAAGCAGTTTACTATGTTTACAGACTTATTTTGCAGAAAATACACCAATATATACGTACAGAAGTAAATGACATTAATATAGATAACCTAAATTAACTTGGAAGAATGTTTTTTTTTTCTTTAAAAACAAAAATTATCTATCATTTACAGGGAATTGATGATGTTACTGGAGAGCCATTAGTTCAACGTGATGATGATAAAGAAGAGACAGTAAAGGCTAGACTAGAGCACTATAGGCGTCTAACACATCCTGTCCTCCAGTTTTTTAGGTGACATTATAGAAGAAATAGTTATCTGTACAAAATTTCTACTACCTTAAAGCTATAGTCTCAGTTTTACATAATTACAGTTTCCTGTGATAATAATTACATAATGTTCATATAAATATTTTATTGTTAAATTCCTAAAATAAAACAATTATAGAAACCTTTATATCCACAAGCTTTTTAAATGCACTGAAAATAAAATAAAACTAATATACTTTCTTTAATAAAAGCTTTGGTCACTCAAGAGATCTTTTACATATTTTAGTCCACGTTTTTTAACGACTTACAAAAACCCAGACACTCACACACACACCCTCCCCCCACCCCCATTGGCGTCATTGATGAGTAGTAATTGACTATTAATAATGTTCAATTAATTCTAAATATTCTAATTAATTTCTAAATAGTTACATTAAAAATATATCTTACCCCCCCTGTTTTGTGAATTAGATGCACCTAATGCTATGCAGTAAATTAATATCTGCTGACTAGTGCTCTTCTAGTGTCTGGCAAAATGTGCTGAAATGGTGAATGTATTGTTAGGAAGTAGTTCATGACGATACATTTATCTACTTGATACTTGTGCAGCTAAGAAAGACGAGTGGGATAGGGATGGCTCAGGGGAGATAATTCAAAGTATAGGCCCTAAAAGTTTACTATGATGTTTCTTGTAAAAGCAAAAACAAGTAAACATATATAAAAGGAAGTTTCTAGTATTATATTTCTTTTTATTTGTATGATACAGGATAGTGTACAATGGAAGTTCTACCAATATCACAATAGCTACCACTGCGAAGTCTGGCGGGACTGTAGTTACGCCCCTGGCTAAAACCCAAACCATTCATAAACTTGGCTGGGTTTACTTCTTTAAACTATACCCATTTATTGTCAACACTGGCGACGAAATGTACGACCATGTGACCTTTACATTTGACAGATAAAAATATTTAGCTATTCTAAAAAGATTATAAAAGTATGTTGTAATTAATTTTCAAAGTACCCTCTATCAGAAGAAACAAAAAAAAATTTAACTAAGCAATCAGAAAAAAGTTACATTCCGCTACAAAGCGAAGTGGGGTTTAGTTCATCAGACAAAGCTGAAAAATAACACGAAAGTATAATCATTGAACGGAGTTATAATTTTAATAATAATTATGTAGGGCCTACTGAAGAAATAAACTTTAAAAGCTAGACTGACAAACTTGTTCATTAAGTAGCTACATGTTTTTATTTATTTACTGAACTATCTAAAACTTGCCATTTTCTTCTACTGCGCCTAGAGCGATTTTAGTGATCGCTATAGTGTGTTTTTTTCAGCTCGGCCTTTTTTGACCATGCTCAGAAATGATAAACAATTGAAGTGTTGTAACAGAAAAAAGGACCACCTTTCTGAAAATGCTAATAAGAAATTTATATGATGTCAGAATCATACTAATTTTTGAATTGCTTAGTTTTTTTGTAACATGTATTTGTAAAGAAACACATTGAATGGTCAAGAAAAGGCCCAGGTGTTGAATGGGAGGGGGGTCAAATTCCGTTGCTAGATTACAGTTGATTGTGATAATTTTCAAGCGGTAAATGAGATATATTGTGTAATATCAACTATGATAAAAATTATGCAGAATTCCAGTGCTTAAAATTTACTTTTTAATGGTAACTAGCTCATTACTATACGAGCCATTTTTATTATAGAATCTATACGTGAAAAGCTACTACGTTTGAGCGACGCATGCCAAAATGGTGTTTTTTTTTTAATTATTTTTAGCAAATTGGTCAGTCATTTCAATTGGAAATGTTTTCCTCTGACAAAGAACATCATAATTAAGTACAGAAATTGCTTTGCTCTTTTTTTTATATATGACATTTTCAATCAGCTTCATAAAAAACAAGTTATAATATTCTAAATCAATTAAAATTTTTGCATCCAAAAAACAATTGCCATGTTGTATTAAAAAATTCAATATGTTTGTATATCATACTGAATAGAATTGTATTTTAAAATATTACAGAAACAAAGGAATAGTTGAGGAGTTCACTGGGAAGTACTCAAATGAATTATGGCCTCAAGTTCATGAAGCACTAGCACAAGTTTTGAAACCTATAAAATATACTCATTATGAATAGCATAAATGAAAACAATTTTTTGTTGATAAAAATAAAATGTTGTATTTGTTATTATTGGGTTTTTTTTTAAGTGCTTTTCTTTGTAGTTATACTACTATACTACTATGAATTCACATAATTTAAAATGTAATCTATTAAAATGCATGTAATTAAGTTTTATTGACAGTTTAACTTTTTTTAGTTAATATATACATGTACATTTAAAAAAACAATATATGGCATATGTATGAACATTTGAAAAACAGGAAAAGATTAAGGTACATTTTTCAAATTACCACGGAGAATGCACATTGTTAAAATGTTTTAATATTATGATCCCGGTTTATATTTTATATCTGTATACATTAATTTATTCTCCCTCATTTATTCAAGATTTTGTTGGTTTTTTTTAGTTAAGACTATGTATCTTTTTATAATATTGATTTTTCCCAAAAGAGACCTTGCTATTGCTTGTAATAGTTTTAGATTATTTGAGAATCATGTTCACCAGGATAATTAAAATGCTTTACAATTTTGTGCAATTAAATTAAAGTAGAAAACAGTATTTTATCATTTTTATATTTTTTAAATTTATGTTGATGTAATTAAGTCTGAATTTATCATTATAGTATAAGTAATACCCATACATGTTTTTATTGCAAGTCTTTTTACTAATTTAGTTTTGGGGGTTCCTGGTATGTTTTCCAATTTAATTAAAAATGTTTTTCATTTCTCTAATTTTCATTCAAATTACAGTAGAGAATTACTTCTTCTAAAACATTTATATCAATACATTTTTATGTTTAAAAAATTAATGTAAAGCTGCTTACTGTAACCAAGAAAATAATTTTAGTTCCAGTGTGTCTTACCTGACAACTACTCTTTAACTCACCATGAAAAGACATCAATCTTTATCTACCTGACTTTTTTCACTATGTGAATGTGTAAACAGAGGCCTTGTAACTTGAAATTTTAAAAGTTTGTTTTCAGTTACCCTATCTCAATTGCTCTGGATATGTATGTGACATTGCAAATGTGAGGTTCTTGAGTCATCAGTGGCTATCTAAATATACAAATGTATGTAATGCTGTGTATGTTGACAAAAAAAAACCCTTCTAGTTTTCATTTTCTTTATTTTAAAAATTAAAATGAAAAATTTACTGGTAGCATTTTTGAGATTGTTGATGGAAATTCAGCCACCTCAGTCAGTAATCAAATGGGCCTGCTGGTGGACATTGTGAAAAAGTTTTATCACATTTTTCTTTTGGAAGTTTCTTTAGTTAACACACACTAGCAATAAAATACGTTAAATAGAATGTGATGTAAAGTATTATTTATGCAAAAATCCTGTATGGCAAATTTAAAACGAGTTTTATTTAATTTTCAATCATGAGAAGTTCTTGATCATTTAACTCACCCTGTGATTAAGAGAGAAAACAGGTAAACACTTGATCAGTCTACTTAATAAGGGATGTTAGCACTATTTTACTCAAAAAGTGATAAAAAAAAATTTGAAACTGTCAGTTAACGTGTCTTAAACTAAAGCTTAACGTGTGCTTATGATAAAAGGCATCCATCCTTGGTTATACATAGCATTTCAATGTCGCAGCATTTTTTTTTCAGTTGTTTGCTAAAATATTTTTATAATATTACTATGTAAAAAAAAGGTGTGCTTATTAATTAATTATACATTAAAATTATTTAACACTGTTGTTTGATATATTCTATTTTATTTTCTAAGAGGCTATTGGTTGGGAAAAGCTTATTCTAGAGATGAGATAATCATGTTCCCATTTGGACGGCTGGGACTGCTATCAATAAATTCAATATTAAAGGTTGCAGTAATTTAGCATTTTGATTTGGTGTAACTCCTTCAGTTTTTAACTATTTTATGTTTTTAAATGGATTATACATTGTTTTGACAATTTGTTCAGGTTTAGTCAGTCCTAAAAGGGCGTCACCCGGTGGGGGAGGGAGATTATATTCATTGTCCTAATAGTGAACCAATAAATTTCAATAGAAGCTTATCGAATTCACGGTAAATCTCTCTCTATATTTTTTATTTCTATTTATTTACGTATTGGTGACTTTTTTACAATAAAACCAGTATAATCGTTCTTCTCTCGTTTGCGACTTGGTCGCAAGTAGCCTTTCTTTACCGGCAGTTATTCCATGTCTAGCATTTTTAACCCCCCCCCCCCCCCCCCCCTTCTCCGCCAAGGCGCTCATGAGCACTTTGTAATTCTAATGAGATTGTTGAAATACACAATATACCTGCTTTAGTTCAGTTTATTCAAATTCTCTGAAAGTGGCACACAGATTTGGCTTCCCAGAATAATGCTTATTTAGAAATTCCACTAAAGAAAAATATGCAAAGAGAAATTCCAGCACACAACAGAAAATCAAAGCTTCAATAGCCATATGTGGGATGATAGAGGAAGATGATCAGAAGTCTAAAACTGTGGGTTGATAGAGGAAGATGATCAGAAGTCTAAAACTGTGAGATGACAGGAGGAAGATGATCAGAAGTCTAAAACTGTGGGTTGATAGAGGAAGATGATCAGAAGTCTAAAACTGTGAGATGACAGGAGGAAGATGATCAAAAGTCCAAAACTGTGGGTTGATGGAGGAAGATGATCAAAAGTCCAAAACTGTGGGTTGATGGAGGAAGATGATCAAAAGTCCAAAACTGTGGGTTGATGGAGGAAGATGATCAGAAGTCCAAAACTGTGGGTTGATGGAGGAAGATGATCAAAAGTCCAAAACTGTGGGTTGATGGAGGAAGATGATCAAAAGTCCAAAACTGTGGGTTGATGGAAGAAGATGATCAGAAGTCTAAAACTGTGAGATGACAGGAGGAAGATGATCAGAAGTCCAAAACTGTGGGTTGATGGAGGAAGATGATCAAAAGTCCAAAACTGTGGGTTGATGGAGGAAGATGATCAAAAGTCCAAAACTGTGGGTTGATGGAGGAAGATGATCAAAAGTCCAAAACTGTGGGTTGATGGAGAAAGATGATCAAAAGTCCAAAACTGTGGGTTGATGGAGGAAGATGATCAAAAGTCTAAAACTGTGAGATGACAGGAGGAAGATGATCAGAAGTCCAAAACTGTGGGTTGATGGAGGAAGATGATCAGAAGTCTAAAACTGAGATGACAGGAGGAAGATGATCAGAAGTCCAAAACTGTGGGTTGATGGAGGAAGATGATCAGAAGTCTAAAACTGTGAGATGACAGGAGGAAGATGATCAGAAGTCTAAAACTGTGAGATGACAGGAGGAAGATGATCAGAAGTCCAAAACTGTGGGTTGATGGAGGAAGATGATCAAAAGTCCAAAACTGTGGGTTGATGGAGGAAGATGATCAGAAGTCCAAAACTGTGGGTTGATGGAGGAAGATGATCAGAAGTCTAAAACTGTGGGTTGATGGAGGAAGATGATCAAAAGTCCAAAACTGTGGGTTGATGGAGGAAGATGATCAAAAGTCCAAAACTGTGGGTTGATGGAGAAAGATGATCAAAAGTCCAAAACTGTGGGTTGATGGAGGAAGATGATCAAAAGTCTAAAACTGTGAGATGACAGGAGGAAGATGATCAGAAGTCCAAAACTGTGGGTTGATGGAGGAAGATGATCAGAAGTCTAAAACTGTGAGATGACAGGAGGAAGATGATCAGAAGTCTAAAACTGTGAGATGACAGGAGGAAGATGATCAAAAGTCCAAAACTGTGGGTTGATGGAGAAAGATGATCAAAAGTCCAAAACTGTGGGTTGATGGAAGAAGATGATCAAAAGTCCAAAACTGTGGGTTGATGGAGGAAGATGATCAGAAGTCCAAAACTGTGGGATTACAGGATGAAGATGATCAAAAGTCCAAAACTGTGGGTTGATGGAGAAAGATGATCAAAAGTCCAAAACTGTGGGTTGATGGAGAAAGATGATCAAAAGTCCAAAACTGTGGGTTGATGGAGGAAGATGATCAAAAGTCCAAAACTGTGGGTTGATGGAGGAAGATGATCAAAAGTCCAAAACTGTGGGATTACAGGATGAAGATGATCAAAAGTCCAAAACTGTGGGTTGATGGAGGAAGATGATCAAAAGTCCAAAACTGTGGGATTACAGGATGAAGATGATCTAAAGTCCAAAACTGTGGGTTGGTGGAGGAAGATGATCAAAAGAACAGTCTAAGCCTACAGGTCATTTAGGTAGATAGTAGATAGTCTCTTCAGCTTGCCAGGTCTTACGTCAGGGGAAGTGAACACAGCTAGAAATTAATTTTCTTTCAAATTAGACCTGGAAAACATTTTAATCGAACAAGTTGTAAGGAATCTGAATTTGACAAAGCCAACGTGCTGTTATCAACCCGACAATAACTTTTCTGACAACTTACTCGAATGACAGAGCAATGAATAAACAATAACATCCACATCTTACACGATGTTTAACCCAGCTGTATTGCACGTGAGCAGATATTGTCCATCGATGTTATAAATGTGCGTGTGATGGTGTGATAGCTTAATAACTACTAGATGTTTGAAACATCAATGGCTTGTTTTGTTTAAAAATTCAGCCTTTCCACCGAGCGGATTACAAAAACGTTTTATTTGTGTGAGTCTGTCTGCCTTTTTTTCTTTCTCGTATATACGAAGTATAGAGAAAGTCTTGTAATCGTGCAAAAAAAAAAATAACGAGATTTTTGCAAATCTCGACTTTTTACACCTCACTGATACGGAAAAACATTATTTTGCAATCTTGTCTGTGTGTATGTGTGTCTCTCTGTGTATGTATGTGTGTGTGTAAACCTGATAACTTGAGTATCGTTACAGCTAGGTTGATGAAATTTCATATGTAAGTATTATATCAAAATCGTAGATCCGTATCAACTTTTAAGCGATTTCCGATAACCGGAAGTGGTACCTTTTCTACCGATTTCTCAAAGAAGCTATTGTAAATTTTATAAAGTACTAATAATATTGCGCACTATTATGCACATTTTATTTGGCGTTCACTTAGTGTGCAATTCTTTTTTCTACGGGATTTTATTCTATTTTAAAAAGTTTATGTATTTAAAATGGATTAAAAATCATGTCTAAATCCCGAGTTCCATCCCCTATTGTTTTATATAAGAATATTCGAGTAAGTTTAGGGGAGATCACTCTCGGTTTATTTCTTATTACCTTTGTCTGGATTTTAAAAACGCTCAGCGTAGCAAATTAATTTTTTAGCTACATCTTGGGGGTCGTCCATCAATGACGTCACACTCGTAGGGGGGAGGGGTGGTCCGTAATTTTGTGTTGGAGGGGGGGGGGGTTAGATGGTGTGACGTCACTTTTTTGCATTATAAAAAAGTAATGTTAGAAAACGAGTTTTAGCCATTATTTCGCGTTTTAGAAAACGGTTTTAATAAATTGTAATAGGAATTGATGAAAATACTCTGTTGACAGTGTTCTGACAAGATTTTGGAAAAATATCGATGTTTTAAGAAAAATTCAACAGCAATTTTGAGGGGTGGGTTGTAGCTGAGGTGTGACGTCATTTTATGGGGGGGGGGGTGTCTGACTTTTTGTGAAGACATGTGACGGAGGGGAAGGGGGGGGGGAGATAAAAATCGTCAAAAAAGCGTGACATCATTTAAGGATGACCCCTTGACCACCTAGACACAACGGAAAAATGCGCCTACAGAAAAATGCTTGAAGAGAAAAACATGCAACCAGAAAAACGCTCATTGAAAAAGTGTGCACACAGAAGAATGCGCAAAGAGAAAGATGTTCAGGCAGAAAATTGCGCTAAGAGAAAATTGCGCACAAAGAACAATGCGCTCACAGAAAAACGAGCAAATAAAAATATGCGCACACAGAAAATTAGACAGAGATAGCTGGCCAATGAGGATTAGGCAATGTGTTTATACCGACGTACGGCTGTTTGTCTGTCTGTATGTCCATCCGTCCGTCCATACATCTAAGTACCATGTAAATTTTATTGAATGGGATAACATTTTCCTGGTTTGCACGCAAAGATATTAGTACCTGCATTTGAACATATGACTAAAGATAAGCGGGATGGCTAGCTCATGTAATAACTCGCAGGGAACGCCATTAATGAATAACTTTGATAGAGACAGCTGTGTGTGATACGATTCTTAGAGAAAAAATGTTGTTGATTCTGTCACCCCTCTCTAAGACTGTGCGATTGTGAACTAGGTACAGCGCTGGATTTACATATAGGTTTAACAAGCTCTTCCTTAGTGCCCTTATTTTCTTAGCCCTCCTTCCCCCAAAGTACAACTTCCGTTTAATGGAGGACACTAAAAATTGAAAGTAATCCAAGTATAAGATTTTGTACTTAAGGGTCGTCCATAAATGACGTCACGCTCGTAGGGGGGGGGGGAGGGGGTCCGTAATTTTAAGACGGTGTGTGATAAGGGGGCGGGGTTTTCAGATAGTGTGACGTCACATTTTTGCATTATAAAAAAGCAACGTTAAAATATCGATGTTTTAAGAAAAATTGAACTGCAAATTTGAGGGGATTTTGTAGGCCTACGTGTGACCTCGTTTTAGGGGGGGGGGGGGGTGATGTCTGGCTTTTTGTGACGATGTGTGACGGAGGGGAGGAGGTGAAATCGTCAAAAAAGCGTGTCTTACTACCTGTAACAGTGTTCACGTTATAGTCTTCACACGGAAATTTAGAAAAGGTAACACCCGGTTACCGGAAAAAGTT